TATATATATATATATATATATATATATATATGTATGTATGTATGTATATATAATAGCACTTTCTGTTTAGGAAATAATTGAACGCGCGAGGAGAAAATAATATCGTAATGACGTTATTAATACACTAACAGTTTTGTGGAATTTTGTTTGAATTTTCTTTGAATTTTCCTCCGATTAAATGTAATTAGAATACCGTTCTATTAACTCTCTAAAGAATGTATTAAAGGTGTCCGTTCTATTTCTATGATGAGGAGTAATAAGAAGAAAATTGAAGGAATACTGTTAATTTCCCAAGTACTTTGTCGATGGAACGAAGCGTGTAACGCCTCGCAGTGTTTCCCAAATGAAACGGATACGTATGTACCTATCCAAGGATTATAATATAATTAAACAGAATCATGAAACGTGCTCCTTTTTTTTTTCTTTCTGTAATGACGTAGAGGCTTCTAAGTAAAGCGCGCGCGATTATTGTTGTTCACGAGCTATGAAAGGGTTAACGAAAGGATCGCTGAATATCGTTAAACGTAGCACACACACACACACACACACACACACATACACGCGAGACCGATCCAATCGTATCAGATTCTCGAAGAATCTCGGAACAAATAATTTCCGCTCAGTGAGTATGAAATGATTAATAAAACATTGGCGTAAAACATCGACCGATAAAACGTGGCTTCCTGCGAGACGCGAAATCTGAACGAGAATTTTTTTTTTAACGAAATCAAGCGCTACTAGCTTTCGTGGTGCGAAATCATTCGTTCACGATCGAGCAATTCTCAATTTTTGAATCTTCGAAACGGATGCGCGTATCATCAGTTTTATATTCCATTCACGATGGGCGAACCGTGGATAGCGAGTGAGTATTCGCCGATTGCTCCAATCGAAAGTTAGCGAATTAAATTCATAAATATTTATTAAAAAATCTGGCCCGTTGTAATCGACTCCGCGAGAGGGGGAGGTGAGCGAGCGAGCGTGCGGCGCGGTTGGCGACCGAAAGCGTTAAACACATATCCGTTTTTCTCGTGAATAATAATTGCATCGCGGTTAGCTTGAAATTTTCACACCGAATTCCGTGCCGCGAGGCGAAAATCAGCGGAAAGAAATATATAGGAGAAAAGGAAAAAAAAAGAGAAAAGGGAAGAAAGAAGAAAAAAAAAAAGGAAAACGGCAGAGAAGAAAACAGGTAGGGAAGGAAAGCGTAGAGAGAGAGCGGGGGATAGAGGCAAAAAAATTGGCGGAAAGTAATCTGGAATAAAGTGCCATATATAAAATTAACAGATCGCGCTTTGTATGTAAATTTGATATACGACGACGGAAAGTTGATATATCATTTCCTATGCATATTCATACGCGAATTCATACGCGACCTCGCGGTATTTGTTTTACGGGGACGCCTATGGCACCATTATTCTTCCTATTCCGCGAATTTATAAACGGTACGAACCGTCTCTCTTTTAGTTCTCCGCCCCGCATTTTATCACACCGTATAAACCGTATTTTTCATCGTGTTTCATTGCAGTTTAGAGACGCGCCGCGCATCGAAAAATATTTCTCTCGCCTCGCTGTGGCGTTGTAAATATCGTGCAGTTTAAAAATAATGAGCATAAAGTTGTTGCAAAGCAACAAAATAAAAAGAATAAAAAAGGAAAAAAGAAAAAAAAGAAACGGTGGAGGATTTCACGGACCGAAATTGAGGAAAATCGTAACAATCTCCGCATGGTGATTTAAAGACAATGAACAAGAGTTAACGAGAGAGACTCGGCCTGACATGATTTATTTTAATGGGAACTTTCTATTCAGCTTTCACGATTTTCTGTTGCTTTTCATTTTACCCTTCCTCCCCTCCCGGGCGAAATCCACGAAAATTGTGCAATTCGCGCGCTAACCGGTCGAGCTAAAGTTACGCTAATTAAGTTATCAGGATTCATTCGGTTTCATTCCAATTAATTTCTGCCGTTTCGTTTAATAAACAATACCGTATCTTGCTTTCACGTTGATGAATCTTTAAACGTAATTAAATATAATCCTACACATATATATACATGATATTCCGGGATTGCGCTAACATGTTCGCCAACATGACGAACAGCTCGTGTAAATAAATTTAGAAACGCGACAAATTTATACAAATATACGGAGAGCGTACGTTTTGTTCGCCTTATCAATCCGTCGATGTAAATTACGAAATAAATTTAACAATGCACTTACGTACGTACAATTTCGCTCGTTCGTATTCGTTGCAGGTCCCATTAAACTTCTTCGAGTTTGTCGCCGGCTCGTATCCACGCTGTTATTTTTCGTTACCAGGCGCGTACTGAATTAATTCCATAATTCTCGAGACGAGAAGGGATTTCAGACAGAGGCGTGCAACCTTTGTGAAGCACAAATACAAAAGAATTTTCTAATTAAATTTTAATCTCGATAGCTTCAAAATTAAATCTTTTGAACATGTACGCGATAATTATGACGATCGAGTAAGGAAATTCTAAAGAACTGTACTTTTTCAATTACTTCGTATTGTTCGATTTCTATTCTCGAAAGACGAAACGGTCATTAGCACTTACCTTCTTAGACGAATCGATGGCGAACAGTGCAGAGGAAAAAGGATGATTGGATGATGGAGTAGATTCATCACACTATGCATATAGTGTTGAGAATAAATTAATATATTTGAAATGAATATACGGTAGATACTGTCTCGCATTCCAGATTTTATGGCATCTCTTTGTTTCTCTCTTCTCCTCTTCGTAT